TTTGATAGTTTATTTTGTAATTTTGTTGTCTTTTAACTGTGAATATAATTTAGTGACCTAGAAATTATAACATTGTTCCTTTATGGTTTTAATAAGGAACAAATATAGCATTTTATTGTTTACTTTCCACTTTATAAAATTTTATATCTTGTGCATATGTCTCTAAAACTTTTTAGTACTTTTTTAGCAACAATCCATGAAGGGGGTTTAGTAATAGAATCAAAAGTAGATTTTCTTAACAACTTTACTTTTATTTGTATATCACAAATATTTCACTATCATAACATTAGATTTAAAAACAAATATATAAATTTGTTTAAAGTTTAAACATACTAGACGTGATCATAAAAAAATAACTACTGATATTGACTCAGATTTGGCAGATCTGATTCCTACAGAAATTTAAAATAATAAATTAAAAGCACTACAAATAATTAACTAGATGTAAATACACATTTAAATATTACTTATTAAAATAGGGACAAAATACCACACTTGCTTTTTTTTTTAATTAATTTACTATGGCGTTGATAGTAGTAAAATGAAAACTTGCATGAACATCTAAAGGAATGTAGTAAATGTTTCTTTTTCTTACAGAAAATAAAAATATTGCAGCATATTATAAAAAAAGAAAAATAAAAATGTAAATATATTTCAAAGCAACAGGCTTTATTTTATCGTTTCTAAAGCTTGTTTAAGATCTTGGATGAGATCTTCAACATCTTCAATACCGACAGATAATCTAATAAGATTGTCCGATATTCCTAATTCATTTCTTTGTTCTTCAGGTACAGAAGCATGTGTCATAATTGATCTAGAAGACATTAACTCAGATTATAAGGGAAAATAAAACCATTGTTTTGACTTACGGTAATTCTGCAAGGCTCTCATACCCTCCCAAACTCTCTGCAAGAGTGAAAACCTGGAGGGAACTTAGAAACTTTCTCGATTCCTCCAGTCCGCCCTTTATATAAATAGAAATCATCCCGCTGTGCCCTGCAGTCTGTTTTTTCGCAAGTTTATGTTGAGGATGAGAAGGTAACCCTTTAAATTTTAAGAAATTACTGAAATTCAAAAATGGCATTTGATTGAAGCGTTTATACCTGGATGTAAAACTTTAATAACATTTGGATGACCCTCCAAAAATTTGGCAACAGCTATGGCATTCTTAGAATGTTGTTGCATCCTAAGGGCCAAAGTTTTCAGACTTCTATTCACTTGTGCACAATCAAACGGTGATGGTATAATGCCCATCGCTAAAACCAAGACGTTTACTCATTACAAATATTAAAATGATGATCGACAAGGCTCCCCCCCTATCCGCAGATTTAATAAAACTCTGCTCTTACATACCGTTTTGTAAAAATCGTATTTTGTTATGTAAGGCCTCATCGTTTACCACAATGGCACCCATTACTATATCAGAGTGACCATTCATGTATTTTGTAAGGGAATAAACTGATAAGTCGGCCCCCAACTCCAAAGGCCTTTGGAAATACGGCGTTAAAAATGTATTGTCAACAGCTAGAAGTATTTTGTGTTTTTTGGCAATTTTAGAAACTGCTGCTATATCGATTACTTTTAAAGTTGGATTTGTTGGTGTCTCAATCCATATCATCTAAAAATAAAAACTATATTAAATATTTTTTATTTTTGCATAATTTGTTATGTTTTCCAAAAAAGGCGTCGATATGGTATCAAAAACGGAAATAGTGTTGTTATTGGTTATTAGTAAAAATTATTTGTTTCATTATTTGATAAGTAAATCTACTTGGTTGCTATATAACATATTCTATTTTATCAGCAAGTTAACGCAATTATTAACGTTATAAAGTTATGAATGTCTTTATCTCTGTTTTTTTTTTTTTAATAGTGCAATATAATAGCTTGATAAATAATAAAGCAGATAAGGAACTTAGGGATCAAATTTTCTGAATATTATAAGCTCAAAGAATATTCAAACAAATGTGAAAAATATTGACCTTAATTAGCAATAATTTAACAATAAGATTAATTACAGTGTGGTTCATTGGATTGAGTCGTATGTCAATAAATCAATAAAATTACCTTGGTGTTAGGTTTAACATCTTTTTCGACTTCTTCTAAATTAGTAGCATTTACAAAGGTAATTTCTAAACCAAGAGGCTTGCCAACTATCCTAAAAAGTCTGCTAATTCCTCCATACAAGTCGTCACCGCAAATAATGTGGTCGCCGGAATTAAAGAGTCCAAAAAGTGTGCTCGTTGCTCCCAAGCCTGAAGCGAAGCACATTGCATACTTGGCCCCTTCAACTGCTGCTAAGCATTCTTCCAAAGTATTTCGCGAAGGATTTCCCGATCTTCCATACTCGTATATCTACACATTATTGTAACGAAAAATAAATATTACAAACAACTAAGTATCGTGTTTAGCACCCTCTACCAAAAAAGGTAAAAAGGTACCTTATGACATGTGTTGTCATAGTTATTTATATTAATAGAGCAACACCAGGGTCTTTACCTTTGGGACTGCTGGACTGTGTTGTTTAAATGTGGTGGACATGACTATTGGGGGGACCACACTCATATGTTCCCATTTTTCCGGTTCATGGGCAGCGTGTATGGCGGCAGTAGCAAATCCTTGTGGTAAAGGTAAATACCCATCGTTATCGGCATTTCCGTTAACCGAATTTATCCCGTTCATCTTCTATTATTGTAAATGTTTCCTTCTTATCTATACTAAGTAATAATGAAATAATTATGATATAATTATCTTGGCAAATACAATTATAAAATAAAAAGTCCAATTTTATAAAGTATAATCGCTTTTTTATTGAGAGCAATTACGTATTTTGTTTTAGTAATAAAGCATTAAAAAAAATTTGGTACATGCTATAATTTGAACCTCAACATGAATGTAACGTAAAGTGGAAAATCACCACCTATACAGTTTCTTTTTTTATTAATAGGGAACTAAGTTAACTATTAATTAGCCTATAAATCTTTTCAGTGTATGTATATTCAATGCAAAATAAGTATGTAATAACTTTTATCTTTTCAAAAAGCATATTTATCGTGGTATTGATAAAGCAAAATATGCGTATGTTAACGGTATAATTTATTGCAATACAGGTGTGTTATGCAGTTTACTACTATTGTACTCGGTTGTACTATTTAAAAAAAAAGTTGAAGGCCGTTAAAGGTTACTTCAAGGTGCTGTAGACACGTGTTAATAATATTCCAATTTTTCTCCTACTTTAAGGTTATTGGCTCAAGTACGACCTTAGCTATTGACTAAAATTGATAAAAATAACATAATACAACGATGGCAGTTTTTTCCATTATCATGCAAAATTTATTTTTATTGTATGCTGGGTTTTTTACAACTGACGTCACAAGCCAAAGATATGTAACTGAACCAGTCAAATTGCATCATTCATAACTTAAAAAAAAATAAAAAAAGGTTTAAAAGTATATTTTTTAATAAAAACATATATTAATGGCAAGATTAAATAAAAGCTTCCATTAATTGAATTGCTTAATTTAATTAAATATATAAGCCATATGCTCACAAAAAAATCAATATAATGCTAAATTTCTATTTAAATATCAAGTTTAATATATGAGGAGCTATAAATTAAATGCTGACAATTAACATGCACTTAAAGTACAATACTTACCTAAAAAATTTTCAAAATAAATTGTGGAAAGGGCTCGCCTGCGAACTTTTCCCTTATTACATATAAGGCAATATGAAAATAGCTTTCAATAAATACTGATACCGGTATTAAAAAGCGATTAATCTACTACTATACACTATACAGAACCTACAGAACTAAACCACAATTAACACTGCGAACGCCGGAGTTGGTGTACATCTATTTATGCGAACGGTCCTGCATTCTAAATGATAAAATGTTGTTTCATTATTCTGTAAATTAAGCCAATTGCTTACTGCACGACTCTTTATCTCGTATTTATCCCCATGACGTCATTTTCAAAATGACTGGGCATTTTTTATCCCAGATTA